GCATTAAGTGACAAAGAACCAGGAGTCGATATGAAAATCAGGCCCTTGCTCACCTTAGTACCGTCCTCCTTCTGAATCTCCTGGGTGCCTGTACACACAGCAAACGGTTGCCTCAGCCGAAGGGTTTTGATCTCGCTCAGAGAGGTGTTGTGATCGTCAGCGCTCCTCGCCTTCTCTGCGTTGAGGGCAGACAGTGGAAAGTCATAAGTTTGGATGCCCTCCTGCTGAAGCTGTTCTTTTACGACTGCTTTGAAGGCACGACACTCCTCGGCAGTCATTGTGTCAGCTTTGGCAATCAGAGGGATCAGATTAACCTACAGTTCGGAAAGCGGGGTAAGCAGGAAGGGAAATAAATGGGGTTCAGTGTGTTAAAATGACAAGGATAAAAAAATAATAATAATTACAGACTTCTGTGCTTCTTTAATTACTGACTCCTTTTGTTGCAATCCACCTGACTGCCTTTGATACAGGCATATATAAATGAATATTGACACACTCGTTGATGAACGCTTACCGGGCACTAACGGAATTCACTTGGCTCGCTCTGCCTTGGGTGTCATTTCTCGGGCCCTGCCAGCAGCCGCCCAGCGCCTAATAGTCTCAGGCAGTTTATAATGTCGGCAAAGACCAGGGAGACTGGAATGGCCATGTAGGACTTATTAGCAGTAGTCAATCCAAGCCCAAGTGCTGCATAACCCGATGCTTGAACTCGCGAACTTTTCAATCACAGTCTAACGATCTAGCCATTGGGCCACGAGCTCGTTGTTTTGCCAGTTTTCGGTCGGGAGGTATGGACACTTTTTGATGAACGTTCACCCACCCACCGCTAACGGAGCTCACTTTAATTACTGACTGTTTATGTTGCAATCATCTGAGTGAAGGCGAACCATGCTTGCACGGACTTCGTCTTGAGATCAGAATTATTTGGTGAAAGTCACTCCAATATGAGTACAAATACACTCCAATGTACTGTGAATAGAGGTCCTGACTTCTCTTTATCGG